CAACTACCGATCTCAGCACAGCTATAGTCAGGGGTAGAGTATCAGGAGGAGTGGCTGTGCTTTGGAACAAAAGAATTGATGCTGTAATTAAGCCAGTAAGACTGGATGTAGATTGGTGTATTGGCATACAATATATCCAGAATAACATTAGTTTTGTTATCCTTAATATTTATACTCCATACGAAATTGCTGGAAATGAAGGGGAATATATTAGTAGGTTGGCTTTTATTAATGCATTTATTCAAAGTCACAGTACTTATAGTATATATGTTGTGGGCGACTTTAATGCTGATCTTTCAGATAAAAAATCTCAATTTGCTAAACACTTAATACAGTTGTGTGAAGACAATGATCTTGTTCTATCTAGCAAAGTGCTGTTGCCAAAAGACAGTTACACATATATTAGTGAGAGTTGGCATACTACATCATGGCTGGATCATTGTATTAGTACAGCTGATGGTCATGCAGCTTTGGATAGCATGTCTATAAAATATGGGGTAACTGTGTCAGACCATATACCTCTTGCTTTCTCTATAAATGTGGAACAACTGCCTAGTACAATGGGAGTTAATTATGTCAATAATTATGATAATATAAAATTAGAATGGGCAGCATTAAGTGACAAAGACATATCGGGTTATAGTTATAATACAGATCAATACCTGAACAATATCTCTGTGGCTAAAGAGGCTATCCTGTGTGAAGATGTCAACTGTAAGATTCTCAAACACAAACGTGATCTATGCTCTATGTATGAGGATATAGTGGACGCTTTGTATGAAAGTGGTAGACCTTTTCATGTCAAAGGTAAGCATAAGCAGAAACCTCATATCAGGCCTGGCTGGAAAGAACATGTTGCCATGTATCAGGATGAAGCACGGGCAGCTTTTAAATGTTGGGATATGGTTGGGAGACCAAGGCAGGGTGTGGAATTTGAACAGAAAAAACGTGCAAATGCCAGATATAAGTATGCTGTTCGTTTTATATTAAAACATGAGCAGATCATGAGGGCAGATTCAATGGCCAGGACATTTATGAGTAATGATGTCAATGGTTTTTGGAAAGATGTGAAAACAGTTAATAATTGCAAATCATCTCTACCAGGTACTGTTGAAGGTGTTTCTGGGGAAGATAATATTGCAGCATTATGGAGACATCATTATTATGTATTGTTTAATTGTTTGAAAGGTGATCAGCATGAGGATGGCTCTGTAATTAATGATGAATCTATATGTGTAACGACCCATGAGGTGCATGAAGCCATTCACAAACTAGCTGATAATAAGGCTTCTGGTCTGGATCACATTAGTGCAGAACATTTGAAATATGCTAGCCAAAGACTAGCTCCCCTTTTAGCTCTATGTTTTACAGGGTTCATGATTCATGGCATACTACCAGACTCAATGATGGCAATTCTGCTTGTTCCAGTCATTAAGAACAAATCTGGGAAGGTGACCAGTATGGATAATTATAGGCCGATTGCACTAGCCCGTGTTTTATCTAAAGTTCTTGAAAGAATCATATTTGATAGAGTCACTGTGTACCTCAGTTCCTTGGATAATCAGTTTGGCTTTAAGCCAAAACATGGTACTGACATGTGTATATACGCACTTAAAGAAATGGTCAACTGGTACAGAAATAGAAATTCTTCTGTCCTTATGTGTTTTATTGATGCTTCTAAGGCTTTTGATCGTGTAAACCACAGAAAACTTTTTACTAAGTTAAAGCTACGGGGGGTCCCTGGGTTTATTGTGAGAATCCTGTCTTACTGGTATGCTCATCAGACGATACAGGTTAAATGGGGTGCCAGCATCTCTGCACCATTTGGCGTTAGTAATGGTGTTAGGCAGGGTGGAATTCTGTCTCCTATCTTATTTAATCTGTATGTTGACGATCTGTCTGTGCAGCTCAGAGCCTGTAACACAGGATGTTTGATGGGTACAACTTTGATCAACCATCTGATGTATGCTGATGATCTGGTGGTCTTTAGTCCAAGTAGTGCTGGTTTACAGCAGCTCCTAAATATCTGCTCTGAATATGGTGTGCAGTACGATATTCAGTATAATGCTGTTAAAAGTGCTATCTTGATATGTAGAACCAAGCAGGATAAAAAGCTAAACTTTCCTGTGTTCAAACTGTCTAATAGTGATCTTAATGTGTGTGAGAAGGTGAAATACCTTGGCCACTTTATAACTGATCAAATGCGTGATGATGCTGACATCCACAGACAGTGCTGTAAGCTGTATGCACAAGCTAACACTATAGCTCGTAAGTTTGGTTTTTGTTCACCTCCAGTTAAGGTGGCTTTATTTAAAGCATATTGTACTCCGCTCTACACAGCCCAACTGTGGTCATCCTACAACCAAAGCAGCATGAATAAGCTGCAAGTTGCATACAACGATGCCTTAAGGATCATACTTAAAATACCCAGAGGGGGCAGTGCCAGTCAGATGTTTGTAACAGCAGGTGTTTGTACTTTTAAAGCTCTTTTAAGAAAACTCATATTCACTTTTACAGGCCGACTGGATAGCTCTGCCAACAGTATAATTTTAGCAATCACTGATCCTACTGTGAGCAGTTGTCGCTATTTCTCCAGGATAAGGAAATACTGGTTGAAGTGTTTGTGTGGTTAACCTTGTGTGGAACAGTTTATAGTAAAGCTTTTAATTACATTTAGATTTTTATTCAATTTTATGCTGTTATCTTTTTATTCTATTTATCTATTTTGTTTCATTGATCTGTTGTTTTATATGTATTTTATCTGGACCTAAGAGTCTGTCAATAAAGATTATCTATCTATAGGAGCAGTAAATCATTTACCTCGCTCTGCTTTCCCAGAGGCTGCAAAAATATCCTATCCAACTGGAATGCTGTGTCCCGTAATACAGAATCTCAGGGCTGGGTGCATAAAAAACAAACATACATCAGTGCACAGTAAAAAAAAAAACAAAAAAAAAACAATATTTATGTACAAACTTTTCTTAAACATGTACCTCACTCTGATGGTTTGTTTGAGGCAAAGTTCCAACTCTTAGCTAAGCCAGGGCGTGTTTCCTTGCAGAAAGTGTTTCCCTTTTGTTTTTCTTTTCCAACTCAGCTGTTTCTTATGAACTAATGAGCAACTTCTGGTTTCACGCGTAATCAGTCAGCTACTGCTTAGGCAACAGCGCCCCCCACTGGAAATTCTTCAAAGTGCTTTGAAATAAACAACAACTGACAGCTCCCCCAACAGTGATGCTTAGTTCCTAACTCTCATTCATCATATTTAGCAGGCAAAAACACAACTTTGAGACAAGTGGAGCGACTCAGAGCTGGAGCCACCCAAGTAAAGTGCATGTTTGCTTGTCTAGGGTTACATCCCACAATGCATTGCGATGTTTTGTTGCAATCAAGTTTTAGCTACTGTTGAATACAGTAGGGGCAGCAGTAGCTCAGGACGTAGAGCGGGTTGTCCAGTTATATCGGAAGGCTGTACATTCGATCCCAGCTCACACCATAGAATGAATGCTGCTGTAGTGTCCTTGGGCAAGACAATCAACCCACCTTGCCTGCTGGCAGTGGTCAGAGGGCCTGATGGTGGCTGTGTTCAGCAGTCTTGCTTTCATCAATGCGCCCCAGGGCAGCTATAGCTACAATGAGGCTCATCCCCACCAGCATGTGAATGGGTGGATGACTGTGTTGTGAAGTGTCTTGGGGGGTTGTAGAACCCTAACACAAAGTCACACTGGGCCAAAATGAAAAACTGGGGCAAAGTCACGGGCCTAACTCAATAAAAGTTATGGCAAATGAGCCTTTTTCTTTATCTACCGATATGTAACCTGAATCTTTTCATTTGGAAACAAACTTATTTTTACAGTAACACTGAATCTGGAAGAACCAAATTACACACGAGCAAGAAAGTTAATAAAACACAAAAGTTGTATTTGTTACTTGTGTTTAACTTTTTGTCTTTTTGATTCCTTCAAATGTGTATGTATATTTGTAATTTTTAACCTTTTGAATCTCCTGTGTTACATTTTCATGTTTACTCTTTATGTTGTGCTCCTGTAACAACTGTTATTGCTGCTGTGACTCCAACTTTCCCACTGAGGGACAATAAAGGGACATTATATTCTATTCTCCTATCAGTAGTTCTTCCAGTACCTGTTTTAAAGTAAGATAAATCGTTTTTCACAGGCCAACAACAAAAACTGAAAATAGTAATTATCTTAAATGAAAATGTAATATCTTACCTATTAACTTTAATGCTTTGGAGTAGAAAAAGTGCATAAAAACAAAATAATTCAAGCTCCGTTTGCTCCACTCTGATGCATCACTGGGGTGAGGTGGAAACTGCTGCAGCCAGCCAGTCATACTGACTTGATCGCATCATTAAACTTGATTTCAATCATCTCCATCTGGAGGTTGATTGGTGTGCTTTGTCAGCTGTGAAAAGCTTTCAGCTTACTGAGCGCTTGATTTATCCATTTCTGGCCTTCAAAGATGGCAAATTGCTGAGTAAACTTGGTGCTGAGTGTTTTTAGCATAATCATGTGTGTTTATATACATATCTATGGTTTCCAGTTTGTCCAAGGCTGACTCACTAATGCCACAAAGCACTATGGGATTTGTGGTCTTTCCGGCAACATGGGCCAGCAGGCCAGTGTTAATATATGTTTGATCTTGAGGGTCTAAGTTTGACACCTGTGACTTACTGCACTGAAACCTGGGGAACGACACACTCACCCAGTTTTGATTTGACCAAAAACAGCCAGGCTATTATTTGCTGGGATGTAAATATAAAATTGGGTGATCTTTGAAGACTCGAGGGATTTTGTGAAGTGTGTGAAGTCCAGCGAGGAGCACGGCAGAGAAGCTGCTCTGCGGCAGAAATTCTCCCAGTGTGTACTGACTCAAGTCACGAGTAAACCACTGCACTCTGCTGATGCCTCCAGTGTGAAGCGGGCATAACGCCCCCCAATAAACACGTCCACCACAGACATTAAGAATTACTCAGAACATGAACTAAAAAGATACAGTTTATTCAAAACCAGCGAGGGAAACACGTTTGTACAAAAATACACAAATGTTACATGTTTGTCAAGACTTGTTCAGCTTTAACCTGCTTACACCACCGATGCTCGTCTGCATGCAGCACCAGAGTGGAATAAGCCTTAAACCATAGTCTTAATTTCCCTATGTAAAATTAACAAATCCAAATACGTTGTAATTTTCCACTTGGAAGAATGTTGAATCCTGGATACTTGAGTTGAGACAAAAATGGGAAATTCATTGTTATAAATATTAGGAAGAAAGCTGAAGGTATGAGTTCTCAGATTCATCTCTGGTGTCGTTCACTTCGACTTTGTGCTGCTTTTCCCGCCTGATTCGTCTGCTTTTTTCTGCTTTTGTTGCATTATTTCAGCATCCCTTTGGTGGGAAAACAAAACATTAAAATAATTACTTTGACAGAACACAAACGGTGTTTTAAAAACACTCATGCTGCATGACTATGAACATAAGTGGAGTTGTATATAAAAAGCTATACGACAAACACCATTATGGCAGTAAATTAGACCACAGGACTCAATAAGCAAATATTATAGTGGACCTCCGTTCAATGTCGTTTACCTCTGTTTCCGTGCAGCTGCAGAAAGCCCGTCCTCGTTACGCTTTCCTTTAGTCTGTTCCGTTTGCTTTTTGGCACTTTTCTGGCGTGCAAGCTCACGTTGGTTTCCTCCTGCACAACATGAAATAAACACAATGCGGATTCAGTTGTAAAGATGCTCTAAAGCGGCTGTAATGAATCTAACTCGAGAGCAGAGAGCAGCCGACGTGGCAGAGCCGCCGAAGAGCAGCCCAACGCCAGCATTTAGCCGCATCCAGGCAGCCGAGTTTGCATGGACACGATCACGGAGTCAAATACAAAACAAAAGAATTTTAAACACTTCAAACAAAAATTTTATTATCTGTAGCTTTTTCTACTCGATTATTCTTCCGCTGTGTTCTTGCTGCAAGCTACAGGGCTAATACCAACATCCAAACAACCCTTTGACCCACCGATTCGAAGTCGTCTTACATAAGTCGTCCAAAGCACACACATACACTTTAACTTAAAACACCGAACACTTCATGAGTGGATGACGTTTAAAATCTTATTTATTAGCGATGATACTGTCATTTAACAGTAAATACTCCAATGAACCCCGTCTATTTGCTGGAACAGCAAGCTGACCCAGCAACATATATAAACGTTAACGTGATCATGCGCCGATCATCTAAACACTTTAAGACCAAATAAAGATGTCGTTACACACTTGTCATTTTAGCAACCGACGTGTCTTTCGGTCAAATTCCAGATAAGCTCAGCCAAAGGGCCACTGGCTCCCAGCACGTCTCCCCAGTCGCTTTTCCTGCTCTGGTTGCGCCGACAGAAAAAAGTAACTAGTCAGAAACTAGAACATTCCGCCCAAACACACCAACTGCGCGTGCGCACGCTCAGGCACGTCTGTTACGCTCGGTCCTTGTAAAAAGTGACGTACCGGGTGCGTCTTTTGGAATTCTAGGATGTCCAAGGAAGGTCCCGCCTTTCTCGCCACTGATTGGCTAGATGGACTCTACTACGATTGGCTACTTAATGAAGCAGCAAACCGTCTTCCCTTGCTAAGTGCAGACTGTCCTCTTGCCACCAACAGAACACATATTTTGGGGATTTTATTTTGTTTTTTTAAGAAAATAAGAACTTAGCGCCATTCTGCCCTCTTTTGCAAAAGTTTTTTTTGTTTCTTTTATTGAAAAACTGAGAAACGTAAGAAGTGAACTTATAAATCTTATTGCATTTATCACACTGTGGGACTTACTTTATGTCTATGGCTCTAAAGCACTGATGTTATCTTATTACAGCAGGGTGCATAGGAGAAATGTAAGAAATATAATAAAACGGCCCTATTTTACCCAGCCGTGTGCAGCAGGTCTGTTTCTCTTCTAGAATAATGAAAACTGCTGAAAAGGTGTTAGGGTTTAAATCATAATCAGCTTTGAACTAATTTCAATTAAAGATGCAGATTTAAACACATGAAAGACGTGTCCTCACTTTCATCCTGCTTGCTTAACAGCCTCAGCCCGTATTTCCAAATTGTTATCAAAAGGCATGAGCATGAAAATACGCCATGCCGATTACATCACAGATGTTATTGAACAAGTACAGAACACCTGTGTGTGTGCGTGTGTGTGAATAAGTATATTGAACTGCCAGCTATGTCACCAGCAAACAACAGAGAAAGGTTAGATGAACATTTGAGGGCGTGCCTATTACTTTTTTACAGTGTTGGACACACCAGCAGAGACACACTGGGCTAGGGAGTGTGGTGCCAGTCTTCTGGGCAGTGCACCACTCCCTTCTTTTTCCTTCCCATAACTGTGTTCTCTCCAAGCTCTCTTTGGAGGTCGACCAGTGATGAGTGACCGTCTGCCCCCCAGTGAAGTTTTACGGCGAGCAACAGCTGCAGGCTGCACACCGATCTGTGCGCTCACTGCAGACCCTTTCATGGCTGCGGTTTGATCTTACATGCAGCAGCACTCCTCATCCTCCCGAACGTACAGTGCTGAAATCAGACTGCTGTCTGTGTGTTTTTGTAAAGACTGATCAGACGGATGTCATTGGGGCTTTGAAGGATTCATCCTTTTTCATCTTGTCCATAAGGTAATCACACAGGGATCTAAAACTAGGCTCAAAATGCTCAACATCCAACTGACATTGTGATGCTTCTTTTTCTGCTCCAGATTGTTGTGGTGCTGGGGGAGTGGTTGCTTCAGCTTCTTCTTGGGTGCCTATTTAGCGGAGCACAGACAAGGACTGATATCACAAGTTATCACTGTTTGGTTCAATTAGTTTACCTGCCAAAAACGACTTACTTGTACCGAGTGGGTGTGTTCTGCAGTCCTCTTCCCTCTCAGACTGCAAGTCCATAAACCAGGTTTCTGGTGTGTTATGGTTTCCTTTTGGGACAGACACGATGTGCAACACAAACAGCCATGATTACACCCCGCTTCAGCTCGGACCAGAAGTTTAAAAAAAACTCCAAATGAAGAGCAGCAGGCATTTTTGGGACAAAGTACTTCAAGTACTGTTTCTTTTCCATTTTGTGGTGAATAATGAATTTTGAAAATAACTGTTTCGTCATGAACAGTAACAAATTAAATGGCTGCTATAAATTATGTGTGTGGGCACACAGTTTGTTAACCTCAGTGAAGGTGTGTGACAGAAACGGATATGGTAAGTATGTGAGTGGTGTGCATAAAATAATGTCAACAAGTAGAAATGTCAGCATGTGTGTTCTCTATTTCTCTCTCACTGTGTGTGTGTGTGGGGGGGGGGGGGGGTGCATACATCAGGAAATCTAGCCTCATATGTAAACATCACTGAAGCAATACACCTGTGGCCATCTCATAGAAGGACTTCTTTGCTGTCATGGATGTCACTGGAAGGCAGTGGGCTCCTTGCAGCTTGAAGGCCTGCATCACATAAGAAGAAGAAGAAGAAGATGAAGATATCATTTCTATGGCGCCTCTCAAGATAAAAATCACGAGGCGCTTCACAAAAACAAAAAATGTAAAAATATGAAAAAGAATTTAGAAAATGTTTTAAAATATATTAAAATGAGCAAAAATAGACAATTGTGATTAAAACTGTTAAGAGAGAGAGAGAGTGAACAGGAAAGAGGGAAACCAGTGGATCCTGAGGAAGGTGGGATAGGTGGGGAGAGCAGAATAAAGAGAGAGAGGTGAAGAAGGTCATACAAAAGTACAGAGTGTTGGTGTTTGCAGAGTCCCCCATTGCTGCCAGCTGGGCAGGTGCAGATGCCCATGAAGATGTTCAGCAGATAAACGCTACCATTTTCACTGGTAACAGTGTATGTTTGGTGTGTTCGTGTTTAGTGTCAAATTCCATCTTTCAGTTCTTTTTAAAACACAGAAAAGGTTTAATTACCTGCAACGTTTCGTTTGCGGCTGCAAACATCAGGCTGGCGCTGATGGTGGCGTCACTCCTTTATTGTGTATTTTTGGTGTTCCATAGATTCTTGGTGTTATGTTTGCTGTGGGAATGTGCAAACACTGGATTCCTACAGCAAACAAAACACCACTTAGACCAATAGTAGACAGCATAGGTACACCAACATACAACATGGCAAAAGATATCAGCAAAATCATCAGCCCGTTATTAGGAAACACAGATCAACGCTGCAAAAACAGCATAGAACTGGCAAAAGAACTAAAGGAGATCACAATAGAAGACAACGACATACTCATCTCACATAACGTCACATCTCTGTTCACAAAAACACCAACCCAAAAAACCATAGACATAGTAGTTAACAGAATCCGACAGGACAAGACTTTACACAAAAGAACAAACCTCACAGCAGATGACAGCACAACTGATAGGACTGGTAGCTAACTCTGAGATATGCTTTAAGTGTCTCCCATTGGGTTGACGCTGAGATCCCATCTGTCCTATTTATCTGTAGAAAGAAGTCTATTTGTTCTGTAATAAACTTTACAAAGTCTGAATCTGCCAACAAGAGCGTGTCAAGCTACCAGGTCCGTTTGGTCCTCTGAGTGGGAAGAGTCATCTTAATACTAACCGGGGCATGGTCCGAAATAATAATTGTGTCATCTTCGCATTCTATAATGTCACTAAGCAAATAGGGATCAACCAAGAAAAAATCTATTCTGGAAAATGACTTGTGCACATTAGGGTAATATGAATATTCTCTTTTGATAGAATATTAAAATCTCCAAGGGTCTATAAGTTTGTGTGTGTCTATAAACGACTGGACCGTGTGCAGCGATTTAGATGGTCTATGTACAGACTCAGAGGAGCGATCTAGCACCGAATTTATCACCAAGTTGTAATCTCCAGCCATAATCAAATGATGACTATCCAGACTGGGGATACAGCTGAACAGTTTCTTAAAAAAATTCTCATCGTCAAAATTTGGACCATAGATACTAAGCTAAGTTGAAACAGCTGTCCCACCACAATTACATATCTACCATTTGGATCCAGGATGGTATCCGATACAACAAAAGGAATATTTTTGTGAATGAGTGAATGAAACAGTTGCACCACCCATTCTCTGTGAATTTCAGTCAGGTCTCGCTTTTGAAGGTGGGTTTCCTGTAGAAAAGCAGTACCAACCCTAAGATGTTGTAAATGAGAAAAAACCCTTTTTCCCTTGACAGCGTGATTTGAACCCTTCACATTCCAACTTATAATTTTCAAGTAATCTTTACTTGGTATAAGATTAGAATTACTCTGAGCCATTAGAGCCAGTCGACTCCAGTATATCTGTTACTCCCCTATTAAAATTGTATAAAAAGCAGAATACCGTGGGTGCACAAAAATAATCTAGAACAAGAGCCACATAGTTACAACATAAAACACTTAAACATGCCTCTAAAAGGCTATCCCCCCAAAAAACTTTGAACTACTGCAAACCTGCATTTGCATGCTACCCGCAGTTATGTATATGAACCGTTAATGAACCCCTCTAACAGATCTTTGAACAAGTTGTGATATTCTTTCACTTTTAGAGTATAAACAAGTACAAAAAACAAGAGAAAATAGCAAATAAAGTGCAACAGAGAATAAATGTCAGAAAATACTAAACAATACTAATAATACTGATCAGAACCGACAATACAACTCGTTTTCCCCCTTCTCTTTCTCTCCTCCCATCCTTTCCCTCCCCCCTCCTAATAATTGTCCGAGTCATTGATCACCTCATTAACATTACCTCAGTCGCCACCCTCTGTAGTGTGCAAGGCGGGGCCTCTGTACACAGCAGACATTATTGCTTATGTAGGTCAGCGCCTCCGCGGGATCGGTAAACCTCATGCGCTTCCCTTTGTGTGTAAACTGCAGAAAGGAAGTTGTAATAAAGGCCGAACTTGATATTTGAAGAGTGGAGCTTCTTTTGGACTCGGGGAAGGCAGAGCGTCGTTTGTTGACATCTGGGCTGTAGTCAGGAAAAATGTGAATTCTTGATCCGTTGACTAAGGGTGGACCCTTCTGTCTGGCGAGGCGCAGGATCAGCTCTTTGGTTTGAAAGTGGTGGAGTTTGACCATAAAGGGCTGTGGTCTGTTGTCGCCATCTGCTGGTTTAGAGACCAGGCTCCTGTGGACTCTATCGACAGTGGCCTCTCAAAATTGTCTTCACCAAACACATCAATAAGTAGTTTGGCGATGAATTCTGTCGGTCGCGGTCCTTCCGCGTTCTCTGGAATTCCCAAGATGCGTATATTTTGCCGTCTCGTGTAATTTTCCAAATACATCACCTTCTCCCTCAGAGCCTCGTTCTGCTTGGCTAGTGACGTTTGGGAAACCTCCATAGTATTTAGCCTCTTGTCAACCTCGTTCAGTCCTTCCTCCATGTCGGTAATTCGTTGACCACACACACTCAGAATTAAATGAAGAGAAGCGATAGCCGCCGTTTTCCCCATGGAACAAATCAATGGAGGCCTGCACCGCAGTAACGGCCTCGGCTAGCGTCTCCATGCTGTTAGCATTAGCTTCAGTTTCTATGCTAGCCGAGGGGTTATTGGAGTCGCCTCGCATTGCATTTTTCACAGACTGTCGTTTGGGAGACATTCATCTACTCAAGAGATGGTAAAGTCCCTTACTAATTGTCACTTATCACTTGTAAGTCGCTTTGGACAAAAGCGTCTGCTAAATACATAAACATAAACTAATTAACCCACCAGTCTCTGACCGGTTAGGTGGTCCAAAGTAAGTAATTTTAGTAGTATTCAGCGGGAGCTGTGGAAGACCCGTCTACTCACTGTGCATGCTCACGTGCGCCCCCCCACCTTCAGTTGATGCTTTTAAGAGCAATCTGAAAACCCACTTGTTCCTCCAGACATTCTAAACATTTTTGTATGTGGATTGGCTGTATACGACTTTTTATGTATATTGACTGTATTTTATAGTAGCCTATTTATGTGTCATTTAAAATTGTGAAGCACTTTGTGACCTTTTTGTCTGTGAAAAGTGCTTTATAAATAAAGCTTACTTAGCTTTCAGGCAAGCGAAGGCCGCTGTTGTCTGCTGTCCCCGGGAATTTTCAGCCAATCGCAGTAGAGCCCATCTAGCCAATCAGAGACGAGAAAGGCGGGACCTTCCTTGGACATCCTAGAATTCCAAAAGACGCTTGCCGGAAGCTCGACCCATCTAAGATGGTGACCGCATTTCCTGTGCCCGAGAGGCCAATAGGGGGTCTATCAATATATATGTCTGTGGCACAGCCAATCACACAGGTCATATGCGTTACGGAGGTAATGCTCGGGCTCGAGGAGACGTCATTTAACCTTTTCTGCATCTCTTAGGTGATGGGACGCTGAAGCTGGATGTTCGGTGTTCAGTTCAGCCAGTAAGTGGCTTCAGGTGTTGACCGCGGTGGTTACGGTTACCTGATGTGTATAGTACTGGGATACATGGTTTCCAGAACGCAGAATGTATGAAATAGTGCATTATGCAGGAAGTGTGTTCAAGCAACAGGCAAAAACTGTAAACACTAAACTCTTCTGAACACAATCAGCTTTCACTTCTGCCTGGAAAAGCCCTCTAGAGGCAGCAATCCCAATCACACAGACCTCTCAGCTGCCTCTATTCAGGATCCAGTTAAGATCCAGACTTCAGCTCCCAGCTTGGAATAACCCTAACCCCATCACTGATGCTTTGTGAAGACCAAACCTACCAGTCCTCATGGGAGTGTTTGGTCCTGGTTAAATAATTGTTACTGACCATTTTCCAGTTCCACACGAACAACCCACTTGAGTAACACCATCGACATATATACTGGACAATTCATTTCCATAGGCTCCAACATCACTTTTTTGAGGCCAAATGGGAGGTGGCCACCACCGCCATTTTGACCGTGTCACAGGTTCCGTCAAGCCCAGACAATTCCACAAAAGGGAAGAGAGGTGGAGGAGCTGAGGGTGGGGCTGTAAGGCTGGGATCAACTGACGACACCCGGTCGAACTAGCCACAAGCTAACCCAAAGCTAATGCGGAGGTGGGAGCTAAGCTAACGGAGGTAGCAACCTAGCTACAACCGGAGTTAACTGTGCACAACACCAGAGCTTCTGAGTCAGAGATACGCCGGGCCGACCGCTGGGGAGAACCGGGTGGAAAACAGAGGTCTCCGAGAGCTCCACAAGCCGATAGTGGGAACCCAGCTCCACCAACATGTTATATTTGAACCCATTTTCTAAAGTGCAGCATTATGTTAAATGCACTGGGTTTTACCCTATTACATTTAAATTTCATGGTTAAACATTACATGTTAAACTCTAAGCTCAGCTCGGCAGTGACCTAAAATACATAAATATAATTTTACTTACCGAAAAAATGAAGTGGAGACTCCTTGGACGCTCTATTAGTGCAATTAATGCCACAGCAAGTCATTTTGTCCAACAATTGCACAAATAATATCCAAACAAGAATACACACACACAGAGACTCAAAATCCCGGAGCAGTTTCCAGGCCAGACCGAGGCTCTACTGAGGCCTTTCCACGGAGCTAGCTCTGTGGTCACGTGGGTCTGATGCTCATTAATTATACAGAATTTTAGGCTTTTAATACACTTAAACAGAAGAGTGAGAAAAACATTCACCCCCTCAGAGTTGTCATGAGTGTAAACTAGATCATTTAAACCTAAAACATGTTCTGGTACCAGGCTGTAAACATGTTTATTTCTGCTGTCAAATTGGTGTTTTTAACATGGGAGTCAATGAGGATTTGCTCGCTTCTGACACCAGCCCCTAGTGGATGAGGGTGGAACTGCAATTATTGGTACTTCCGGGTTGGACTCAATTTTTGAACCGCATTGTGGCGGCTTGAGTAACACCAGTGAATGCTGTTACCACACGGTGATTCTTATAGAATATAGTTATCAATGAAGACAGCACTCTGGAAGTAGAAAATTTTAAATTCAATTATTTTATTACAAAATGGTTAAATAAATAAAACAAAATGATGTAAAAATATAACGTTTGATTCATTTTAAGCCAAAAGAGGGGATCCTATGTAAATAAGTGATCAAACGTGATCCGATTGGTCCCTGGTTCGGTGGGTTGAACTGTTTAGCGTGTTTTAGCACCATCAAAAAGTCAAATCTACAGAAAAAAAAGATTTGACAAATAGAAATGTAGGAAATGTAGAAAGCAATGGGATTACCTGTGTGTGGATTAGAAATAACCATTTTATGGTTCTTCTCATAAATATTATATATTAATCTACACATCACATTTTTAATCCGAATTCAGGGAAACAAAGGAAGGCAGTTATTCTTCTGATCTAAACCCAAAGCTGTCACAACTGAAATGTTTAGCTGCAGTTAAAGAAAATAAAATCATTCTACATTTTCTCAAGGCATTCAGATCCATTTTACAATCTTCAGGACGGCGCTGACGCTCATCAGGACGTGTGCAAACATTTACCTGATGATGTCACAACTGGATCAGCTGGTTTTGCTGCATAAACATTACATTTTCAGACTTTTACTAATTGTGCCTAATGGAAACCTTGACTGAGGACATGTTGGACATGGGGACAGACGGCTAGCGCACCAGGAGAAAGGTTAGCCCAGCCAGGCCAACTCCAGCAACAGCAACCAGCGCTGTCTTCATGGAGGAGTCCAGACTTACTGGTCTGGTGTTGTGGGAGTACTGGCTGAAGCCTTCCTGCAGGAGACAAACCAAACATCTCAAACTGGAAGGAAACCATTGCAGTTGCTTCTTCATGCTAAAACCACTAACAGCATTTCACTTCAAACGGCTGCAAAGCTGATAATTAGTGTCTAAGAAAGGGCTTCCTGTTACTCTGGTGCAGGAAGAGCGGCTGTGTTCTAGCACCCATCTGGCTGAAGCCAGCTGCTGAATGAAATGAAGCACAACCCCTCGTTCACATCAGACGCAGAAGCATGGCCATGCGCCGCGCCCTTGCTGACCTACGACCTCGATCACATCAGCTGCGAGGCCTGCGTCGTGCGGCGACCGTTTCGGTGTGCTGCGTTTTTTTCACGAGGCACAACAATTCTGGCAGGAAGCCTCGGCAGCGCTTTGCGGCTGATATGATCCAGGCGTAAATCTGATGAAACTGAGATTTAGTCAACCTACCCATCCTTCATTCTCCAACAGCCAGCCTTTCTTGTGCTTCACCAGGTAATCAGCTATGGTCTCCGCCAGCAACCGACAGCTGATGAGCTTCGGTTCCAGCTCTTGCCCAGGGTCCAGCCCCGGTCTGGAGGTCCTCTGCTCCTGCAGCTGTCTGATCAGCACCCCAGTAAAAGCAAAGAGGGACACAACCCGCCCCCAGTTAAAGTGTCCGTCTCCAGCCATCTCGTCCATCACCTTCCTGAGGCTAGAGCAGATGTCTGGCCCGCAGCGCTTCAGGAAGTTCTGAGCCAGAGAGTGGAAACGGGTCTGGTGCTGGGTCTCCATATCCTGGGCCAGACGCCTCATGGCAGCGGCTGTCTCGCTGGGAGGTGGAGGGGCTGGATTTGGGCCGCAGCAGCACGTGGACAGGTAATCCTCGGCCACAGCCAGAGTATCATTCCACAGCCCACAGGACATTTTCTGAAGACAGATTACAAAGAGGATCATGCAGTAGCCGAACGCTGCAGCAGCTGAGCAGGGGCAGTTTTTTATTTAAAGGTGGCGCATCAGAGTTGAACGCAGCCCTACTTCTTCCACCTGATTAAATGCCCAGTGTGCACACATTACACGCGTTTATTACACCCCCTTTGCTGTTCACTTAAAAATACATCTAAATTAGACGTCCTCTCCCTTGAGGTGACAAGAATGCTCTACGTTAGCGAACAGCTACGGGCTACGGTGTGTAAAATCCTGGACTACCTTAAACGGTTTATTTATTTAACCCTGCAGAGAGCATCTCGTTCCCCGCGATCTCGTTCTTTCGGTCACTACCCAAAGCTCGTGACCGTAGGTGAGGGTAGGAACGTAGATCGACCGGTAAATCGAGAGCTTCGCCTCCTGGCTCAGCTCTCTTCGCCACGGCAGACCGGTACAACGCCCGCATCACCGCGTCTCCCACAGCTCAGCTCCGTTAGAAATGAGCAGATGTCTGCTTGAGCTGGACAACATCAAGTATAAAAAGTGTTCACAGATAACTGATCTTTTAATGAAGAAGCAATCATTTTTCATTTTAATATTGGTTTTATTTCATTTCTAAGGTCTGGATGTCTGTGAACACTACTGAATGTTCTGATTGGTGTAAATAATACACAATATTATTAATGACAGGTCTGGATGTGGTTCGGTCTGACGTCTAAAACTGCCCTGGGCCTGAAGCCCTGCACATGCAGTTAGTTTCTATAAACAACAACAAATAAACAACAACAGCTGCATTCTACTTTGTTCCTTAAATTGAGTCACGTAGTTTAACTCGCGCGGTCACCAGCAGCTCTGCCAGCTGATTGGTTCTTTAGGAACTAGTGACATCATACAGGTGTGGTACTGAGCAGCATGGACGCATCAGAGTACTTCTCTGTAGTCGGTGTCCAGACAGGACAGGATATATAATCAGACACATATAATATAGTACCATGAACATGTAGAGATACTTTATCATACTTTCTCACCAGCCTGTTACTCTACTCATCTCATATCACCAGCATCACTCGGTCAGCTTATTTCCATCTTGGTAACATTAATGGTCGTCGCCCCTCCCCTGATGTCCACTCTTCTATCCTCGTCCATAGTCTGGTTACATCACGTACGATTACTGCAGCTCTCTTCTCTCAGGCCTCCCTCAGAAAACCCTCCGTAAGCTCCAGTTGGTTCAGAATGCAGCAGCACGCATCGTCACTAAAACTCCCTTCTCTCATCACATCACCCCCATCCTCAAACAACTCCACTGGCTACCCGTGCACACCAGGATTAACTACAAGATTCTCCTTCTCACCTTCAAGGCCATCCGTAACCTCGCCCCTCACTACCTCACAGACCTCGTTCACCTCGTCCCGTTCCCTCAGGTCCTCCTCCTCCATTCATCTCTCTGTGCCCTCAGCACCATGGGGGGTAGAGCCTTCAGCTGCACCGCTCCCAAACTCTGGAACTCCCTTCACCCTCTCATCAAGAACATTAACTCATTCACAGAATTCAAAAAACAACTCAAAACTCACCACTTCATAACCCCATAAGCTTTGAATTTTAGAGCCTTGTTTGTTCATGTTTACGTGTGTTTACTTACTGAATGATTTGTTTTTATTCTGTACCAGAAAGGCGCGTTTAAATAAAATGTATTATTATTATTATTATTATTACTACTTGTTTTTCTCAAAATGCACCAGACTGATGCTTTTAAAGATAAAACTTCTACACAGACAGATCTCAACACCCACGCTGTAAGAGAGGCTAGCCACGCCCCTGGTAGGGACCCATGGTCCGGACGTAGACATGCTGGCCCGATCACTGGTCCCATGTTCTCTGCAGGTCAAACAAAGCAGAGTGGAAACAAAGATCCAGGATGACCAAATCCCAGCTGGATAATACAACTAAACCCTAATCTAGTCTGTTGTTTTCTTGGCTTCATTAAAAATGGTCAGAACATTCAAAACTGATTTTCTGTCCTAAAACTACCGGCTGTTTATTCCACACTGGAAGAGACGATTCTGATTATTTGAGCCCGTATCCGGTCAGCTGATGGGTGTGACTAAAGCTCAGGCTTCAGACCCATAAAGCTCGTGTCAGTTTAGATGTTTGTGTTTGGAGAATGAATAGAGACCACCACACTAAACAAGGATAAGTCATTTCTTACGTCATCAAATCTGCCTTCTTCCCTCTGCAGGTGAACACTTTTAGGGTTCATAATAAATCAAACCGAACAGGGCCGGCTTTGCCGACAGGCGACACAGGCGGCCGCCTGGGGCGCCATCTGATGGATAGGGCGCAAAATAAAAAAACCAAACAAACAAAGTTTATTACATTTATGTTTGTAATATGAAATGCTCTCTCTACATACTCAAAATTCCCCTCTGAAATGACATGAAATTAAAACATCAATATTTAAAATCTAATGATCTGGCTGCATGACGAGCTTCCGCTTGGGCCACCGCTCCGATGCATTTGACCGTTAAGGGTGCCGTAGATCACGTGTGTGGGCGGCACTGTAGAAGGACTTCCTGTTGTCGCGTTTAAACTTTTGGTATTTTACGATGAAAAGAACGCCTAAGCCATCGGGATCAGCATTCCCAAAGCGACGGAAGGAGGAAGAATAAAAACGGGCCCAAAGCAGAGGTATGTAGACTTTATAAATTTGGCAAAGGAACTTTTTGCGTTAGCATTGTAGCTAACTGCCTTTCCAGCCACACACGGACCCTCGCTAGCTGTTTACACACACAATACAGTATCTTGTAACTTTAACACATTATTTTTACTTTTGAATCGTCGTGTCCAGATGCAGTGAGACAATATCTGCAGCCTGTCGACAGGCACCTGTGGACACCGCGGGGGCGGGACTGTCTTCTACACCTGTTGAGTCTCACTGTGACGATGAAGAATGTAAGATTATTTAACCGTTTTTTTGAGTATGATTGCAGCCTTTTTATGAACTTAGTTAAAGTTTTAAGTACGCATACAATATGATTTTATATTTGCATATCAGAAGAACGTTAGGTGTGGGTGTAGCAACATTTCAACTTTGTCCGACACATCGGGCGGGCGGCACCGCCGGGGCCGTGGCGGGGACTCCCCCGCTGCCGCCGGGCCCGGCGGGGAGTGAGAACTGCCTGAACTCAGCATGACATCTTATGGCGTCTCTTTCTTGTTTACGCTGCAGCGTCTTCATCCAGGCATCACGCAGCAGCAGCACATTTACTGAGCTACAGTCTCAGCATCTAGAACCAGGTGAGTTACTTGTTAGGCTATTTGTAATCAGCTGTAGAAACGGACTTTTTCAAATTAAACAGCTTAACACATATATCGATATGCAAAATTAATTTATTTAAATCCACACCAGACACGTGTTTTTGGCACAATCAGTGCAGCATTGATTTAGCATTGAGAATATTAAATAATCTGAACCTACACATCTGAAATTGTCTCCTTAAGATGTTATTGTCAATTAGGCTGTAAATGAGTAAAAAAGGATGGACGTTAGTTTTTGTGACATAGTGAGTCATCTTCAAGGTATAAAGGTTTATGTCCTGAAGAAGGTCGTACCGAAACGCGTCGGTGTTTCCTTGTTTAATAAATGAAATCCTCAGAGTGCCTCAGATCACCGGTTCTTCTTCCTCATGTTCTAAATGTATTGGATGCTGAAGAGCACCTGAGAGTGAGACATACGCTTTTTCAAATATTCCCCATGGATGCGCTCACTTCCACCTGTGTTTGATCATTTTATTCATGTTTTCATAGAACAGATTAAAAAAAATCAATAAAATAAAAAGTCCAGTAACGTTAAAAATAATGAAAAGCATCACTGCACATGACCGAGGAATATTGAATGTGAAAGTGGCGCTTTTCTTAATTCATGCATCTGAGGGTTAAGTTGCTTTGTGTGTGTGTGTGTGTGTGTGTGTGTGTGTGTGTGTGTGTGTATTTTCTCAGAAGAAGAACCCAACACCAGCAGACTCAGTGCTCCAATCCAACAGCCTGAAGAGACACCATCATCAGCTTCAACAGATGTGTGTGAACATGTATGAGCTGCTGGCCCCGTGGATCCTGCTGACTGGCCGCAGCAGTTGAACAAAATGGGAAGTAGAACTTTCTCTATGATGACACTTTGATATTTGAGTTTTGCTTTTGATTGCACAGTTTAATGCTGCTTTTGATTTAGCATCACCCCCCCCCCCCCCCAATGACATTTTGAGTTATTGGTTATTGCAATATTCTCGGGTTACTTATCTTTCAAGCTTACATTTATTCTTCAGGCTGTTGACTTTAAAGAGTTGCTGTGTGAATATTTAAAATAAAAAAATTAGTAACTAAGAAATAACTGTGGAGTTGCATTTTCCAGTGTGTGGTGGGTGGGTGGGTGGACTTGGGTTTGGGGTGAGAGGCGTGCAGGCACGGGGGGTGGGGGCAAATGGGCACTCTCACCTTGGCCACCAAATTACCTAGAGCCGGCCCTGAAACCGAATGACTTTCGTCAGGCACCGACGTGTCCGCTCGTCACCACGGAACCCCGGTGTTCGCTAGCGGAAACGCTACATTTACGTCACGCAGCCGTATCAATAAAAGTGATGTTTGAGGGGAGTGTACCGTTAAAAATCCGTTTGTCTGAGAGCTTAACCGCGAAGTTGACGTGGTTTTTGTCAGCGGAGCAATGGAGGACACAAAGGACCTCTCTGTCGGTCTATACGGAACTAGCTACAGCACAAGAGCCAGGCCAAAGCGGCGACACACCAGCACTTCCGCTTAAATTAGGGTTTTATACACAAAAACACCTTAAATGTGTTTATTAGAAATATTTTATTCAATTTAGAACAAAGCTTACCCTCCCAGCGGTAGGTGACAGCTCTCGCCACATCCAGACGGCGGAAGGAGAACCTCGGGGCAATCACCGCTTCCCTTCTGCGCATTTAGCCCTCCGCCCATTGTCCATATATGGTCATTCCCCTCCCCTCCCAGTACGTAGGAACGTTATTTTCTTACGTATGAAAAGATGGGAAATTACCGATGGAAATGACTCTGAAATGAGTGAATTCAAATTTAGCTTCACCGACTTCCAGTAAAAACCGGAAATGAGTCACACAAATACTCCTTATAGTCCCCTTTGTGCATTTTAAAAGATCTGTCAGACATTTGTAAAGTGCTAAATTTATTCATGTCCAGAATAATCAGAACAAACCTTCAAACACCTGAGATATCATAAAAATAATATTTATGCCTAAATGTTAAAAATGTAGCTACAATTTTCCTGAAATAAAATAGTTACAGTGTAGTTTGCGGCCATTTTAGGGGAGTTTATTTTCACCAATAAGGTACTTTTCTTCTGTCACATTAACTTGTATTTTGCTGTTTTGAATTTTAATTTCCCCTGATGTGTTCCTCTAATGTGGAACTTTAAACATAATACATTTATTATTGGCAGGGCCAGATTAACACTTTGTTGTACCCTGGGCAACAATATTCAAGGGCCCCATCATCACGACCCAAGGATCACCATAATATGGTCACATACAGAATATTTTACTGTAATATGCAGTAAATATACTCAGTACTTGAATGCCTGACATCACGTAACCCCCTCAGGGTAACCTTTGACCCACCTCGTGTGGACTGACCAATGAGGAGAGGGTCTTAACTTGAGGCCCTCTCTTCATTGGTCAGTCTGCATGAGACTGACTCAACTGACGTTCAAAGTCGTAGGCAGCGAAGCGTCTCTGTGCAGCGCAAAAGCCCGGGTGGACAGTTTGTTTAATACAGGGTGATCATATTTCCATTTCCAAACAGGGGGGGGGGGGGGGGTCATTTTGCCTTGGCCCCCAAAATGTCTTGAAACGGCCCTGGGTTGAGTGTTGAAGGTGATCTGAATTGTATCAGATGTGTAATTATGACATGTGTGTAACTTATTGTTTTATACAGGTAAAAACGTGTAGTGGAGATAAATCTACCTTCATTTTACTTTGTTTTCTTGTTTTTATTTAACTATATTTCCTGTCCTGTCTGTCTCTCATCTTCCTGCATCTCCTCTAAACTCTCCAGAAAAACTGCTGCCTGGATTCTTACTTTTTCACCTCATCAGTTAATTCTGGCAGATCGAAGGGATCTCCTGACCGCAAAGCGGAGAGCGCGTTTCGATGTCAGTGAGGTGAAATCACCGCAGCACAGGTGATGAGCTCCGCAGTAGCAGAGCGCTTCAGGTGCAAATAAGACAGAAAGTAGAGAACGTGTGCGGACATGAACGATGGTGTGTTAATTATAGTTTTTTGGTTGCGCCACTTTGAGAATGGACCGTGCGCTGGACGCAGCTGCCTGGAGCGCTGCGCACCAACGATCAGCGCTATAGAGCTCCGGACGTCACGTGACTCTCAGAGAGTAGACGCTCTCTGTGCTCTCTGCTCAAGAGTCCATAAATGATGTAATATAGCTAGAAAACGTTTTTTTTCCCGCTCCCCTGGATGTAGGATATCCAGCTCTCCCATTATTCGATCCCTGCTCCTGGATGAAAAAACTGACTTTTTCATCAACTCCATCCTGCTCAGTACTGGCTCTCCTCAGGGCTGTGTGCTGAGCCCCCTACTGTACACATCGGACTGTACCGCATCCCACCCATCCACTGCCATCTTCAAGTTTGCTGATGACACCACTGTGGTCGGCCTCATCACAGACGGAGACGAGGCAGAGTACAGGGCAGAGGTCAGTAATCTGTCATGGTGGTGCTCAGATAACAACCTCACTCTGAATATACAAAAACAAAAGAGCTCATTCTGGATTTCAGGAGACACCGTCACACACACGCCCCTCTCCTCATAAATGGAGAGTGGTGGACCGTGTCCCCTCCATCAGGTTCCTCGGCACCATCATCTCTGCTGACCTGTCCTGGTCTGCCAACACCAGAGCTCTGGTTAAAAAGGCTCAGCAGCGGCTGCACTTTCTCCGGGTCTTGAGAAGGTATGGCCTGGGTCAGAAACTGCTGCTGGCTTCCTACCACTGCTCCGTGGAGAGCACCTTCACCTACTCTGAGTGTGTGGTATGCAGGCTCCACTGCTGAGGACAGGAAGGCTGTTCAGAGGACAATAAACATTGCCCAGAAGATTACTGGCTGCACCCTGCCATCCCTGGAGGCCATCTCCAGAACCCGCTGCCTGAAGAGAACCGCTGCTATCCTCCGTGACTCCGCCCACCCTGCCCACTGCCTGTTTGACCTGTTGCCCTCAGGGCGCCGCTTCAGGTCAGTTAAATCACACACCACCAGACTTCCCAACAGCTTCTTCCCTTGGGCCATCACAACAGCACCATTCAACCCCCCACATCCCGTCAGTAAGGTGGACTCGTGTGTTTAAATGGTTGTTTTAGCAGATCTGAATCACTGGTTGCACTCTATGGTTTTGATGTTTATTGTCTTGTGCGCTGTTGACGGCGGACCATCTGTAATTTAACTGCCATGAGAAATTACAATAAAGTCTATTCTAAGCACATTCATTGGCATGCCAAGCCTTCCCC